TATCCTAGACCGAAGACAGGTTTGATCCTGCCCAAACCTTGCGTCCGAGGAGGAGAGGGTGGGTTTTCCAGAGGGAACCGGGCGTCATGTGAAAAGGGGGACAGTGCGAGCGGCAGGCCCTGTGACAACCACGGTATCCACGCGTGTGGGGGGCAGGTTGGCCCCAGCCTGTCACTTACAGGCACCACTCAGTCCTCACAGCAAACGTCCGAGGAAGGGATCGTCACCCTCGTTTATACAGATGAGAAAACAAGGCACAGGGGGTTTAGGGAGACATCTGAAGTTACCCAGTTGTCAAAGATGGACTCAAGGTGCAAACCCAGCCTGCCTGGCTCCAGGCTCCACGCTCAGAACCTCTCTCTCTTCTGCCTTCCAGAAGCCCTAACAGCAGGCACTGGGCCCAGCGGGCCATCTGGGGTGCTGTCCCTCAGCACAAAAGTGACATGAAGATTGAAGTCTCTCTATATGAGTGTTCAAGGGCTAGGGTTTGTTTTTCTTAAAAGAAGCCGACCCAGACATCCGTTGGCATCCGTCAACTGATAAACAGGCCTGTTCGCACGTTGAAATGTTTAGCCGTAAAAAGAACGACATTCTCCTGTGTACTGCCGTGTCTTCGTCTGTTTGTGTGTTGCTAAAGGCAATGACTGACGCTGGGTGGATCTAGGAGACTGGAAGTTGGACTGGTCCCAGGGCCTGGTGGTTAAGAGAACCAGGTCCCACATGGTCATGTGTGCTGCATGCCTGAGTCCTGACGGGGTGGAGAAGTCGAGGAGGGCGTGCGCTGAGCCCGCACCCCACTGACAGGTGCTCTCTCCTCTCCGCCTTGTTTCTGTCTCTCTCTGGCAAATTAAAAATATGAATAATAAAAAAGAGAATGGATGTTCATTTCAACTCAGTTCTGGTGGCTGGGCAGTCCAAAGACACTTATGTTACTCAGACGCCCCTAAAGTGAGATCTGGCATATAGCCAAGTGGGACCTATGGGAACAAAAGCAGGGCCAAGAAAACCCAAGTCACCTCCATTTTTTTTTTAAAGAGAGATTTTTGCTATAGGGTGTATTCACTTACTGGAGAGACAGAGAGAGAGAGAGACAGAAAGCGAGAAATCACCCCCCCAGGGGGGATGGCCATGCCGCAATCCCTTCTCCTCCATTCTCCTCTCAGGATCTTGGGCATGCATGCACTCATGTCTGGTATGGAGTTTTAAGTTGCTAGGTCTGGGACTCGAACTGTGGTTGACTATATGGGAGTCTAATGATGTAATCATTAGGCTATCTGCTGGTCCCCAGGCCATCTTCTTTAAGAAGAGACCACCTGCGGAGTGCTCTGCCAGGCAGTGAGGATGACACGCCGGATGACGCAGTGCAAAGGGATCCAGGGCCCAAGAGATCTCCAGAACCCAGGACTGCAGAGGAAAGGGCGGGAGTGATGGAGACATCTGAGGGAGCAGCAGCTCTGGAGCTGGGCAGAGCGAGGTGACATCACCTCGTAATTCACAGATGCTGCTGCTGGCAAAGCGTCCTGGGGGAAGAGGCCAGGACGAGGTGAACAGCCTGTTTCCAAAGCGACATGACGTTCATCTTAGCTGCAGCAGCAAAGGAGCTGAGTCAAGGGGAGCCGCAGGTCTGCATTGAAAGCCTGTCTTGGGAGCAGAGACTGGACAGGCAGATTTATGCCGCAGGGGGACAGATGCTACTTATTTGGCAGAACACAGCACAGTGTCATTCTGAATGACCTGTTTACCCCGTGATTATGTGATTAATGAGCGCCGCAGGCTCCCTCTGCAGGATGGAGCTGCACACTGGCAGGCCTGTCTGGTTCCCACCGCAGCACAGAAAGCAAATCCACTTCCGCCATCTCCCAGGGAAGGCGCTGGTAGGAAGTGGGACAGTGAATGGGCTTGGATGTTTTATGAACCTCCTCTATCCCTGAAAAAGTGATCAGGAGAAATCATTATTTCAAAGTTAGGCTAAGGGCTTTTCTTTTAGGCCAGAGGGCACATGAGACAGAGGGAGAGAGAGGCCCCGATGAGACTGAGTCATAATGCAATCTTCTTCTCTTCCATTCTATCCCATCACCAGGCCTTGAACTGCAGTCGGCCCTGTGAGATTCAACACCCCCTGCACAGCGCTTAACTGCTGTGCTACCTGGCCGGCCCAAGAAGTTTGTTTTGTTTTTTTTTTAATGATAAAGGAAAATAACTTAGTTGTTTTCTTGGTTAGACAAGAAATCAGTGCTTACCTGCCTTTCTCTCACACCCCTGCGGGTTCAAACCTCCCCTCGATTCCTGTCTTTGCACATGGGTCCCAGCCAGCTGCTCCTGCCTCAACCTCCTCTCCTGCCATCCCACTTCCATCTGCTCACCCTAATGCCCGCAGCGCCAGCACGCCTCACCCAGTGCGCGGCCTGCATCTCCTGCCTTTAAGGGCAGAGGGTCTTCCCATCCCCTGCAGCCGTCGGGAAAGGGCAGAGCAGAGCAGAGCGCGGCGACGCTGGGGAGAGCCATGATACCGTTCATCAATGAGCTAACTGGGGCTCAGACAGGTCGCTTTTCCTCACCTGGGAGGTCAGTGTTAGCCTAGGCAGTGACGGAGAGAGAAAGGCTGGGGACCCAGTCTGCCCTCACTCTCGCAGCTCCCCCCAGCCCAGTGCTGTGTGGCTTCTAGAAGTTACCCAACCCCTCCAGGCTGATCCCATCTGTTGTGCAGAGTGGGGGGGTGGTCGCCAGCAGCAGATGCTAAGGACTGTGGCTCAGGGCCTGCTGGAGCCTCCGCCCCACTCCCCAGGAGCTCTGCCCCGGCAGGCACGTGCAGGCCCAGTGGACAGGCAGACGGACAGCCGGGGCTGCAGGTGTGTGAGCTGGGCAGAAGGGGAAGGTGGTCCTCTGGTCATTTCTCTGGGTGAGCCGACTCATGCGCAGAGGTTAGGTGTCTGGCCATAGCCACACCCACCCAGGGGCACAGAGGAGGGTCAGAGGTGGGACCCGGTATCAGGTTTCAGTTTCTGGCTGGCCTGGCTCTGGGTGACAGCTTTGGAGGGAGCCATCCATCCATGCTGGTCAGGGTCCTTCAGAGAAACAGAACCAAGGCGATGGGTACAGACGTGCAGGGAGAGGTTTATCACGAGGGGCTGGCACCGGAGGCCCAGGAAAGCCCATGGAGGGGTACAGTCCAAACCCTGAGGCCTGGGAGACGGGGAGGAGGGTAAGTCCTGGTCCGAGTACAGAGGCAGAGGCCGGTGTGCCGGCAGAGGACGGCTGACCCAGCTCAGGAGCAGACACGAGCCCACTTCGCCCTTGGTTCTGTTCGGGCCCTTGGAGGGCAGGGTGGGCCCCCACCTGGGTGAGAGCAAACTGCTCAGCCCTCGGATACCAACGCCAATCTGCCAGAAACGTCCTCACAGACACGCCCAGGGAGTGGGTTTGACCAGCTCTGGGGCCTCCCTTAGCTGGTCAGGTCGACACACTGAATCACCCACCGCACTGTTGCTCACCCCCCTTCCTGGAGCCTGTGCTTCTGAACCCCGAAACTTCGGAAATCCATGGGGTGGGGGCCACAGGGCTGGCCCAGGCTCTGGCTGTCAAAGCCACCTGCTCTGTGACGCAGTGCCAGGCTGGCACGCGTGTGTCCATGTATGCCCCCTGTCCCTGCACCACCCTGGGGAACCCGAGGTGGCACATTCCTCTCCCCAACAGAGGAGCCAGGCTCTGCCTACCAAATGACCTGCGTGGGTGACTCAGTGGTGGCCAGAGAAGGACTGCTGACACCCATACCCTGCATGAGTCCTTTGCCAGACCCACTGAGCAAAGGCCAGCATAGCCCACCCCTCTGGCCTGTGCCTTTTCGCTCTGCCCCCAGTCTGAGTCCAGCAAAAGAAGGACTCGGAGCCCCTGGAGGCAGGAATG